TGTTCCCATCTCTGGGCTGGGGCTCCCCAGTACCAGCTCCTTCCACTTGACCACATCCAGTGCAGAGCGGCTCGAATCGTCGACGACCGAGTGCTTTCCGATCGGCTCGATTCTCTGGCACTGCGAAGAGATGTTGCATCCTTTTGCATTTTCTTTCGCATATACCATGGAGAGTGCTCTGAGGAATTGTTCGGATTAATCCCAGCCGCCAAATTTCGTGAACGCACTACGCGGCAAACGTCCCGATACCATCCACACCATCTGGATGCTTGGCGGTCCACCACTGTACGTTTCAAAAGGAGTTTTCTTCCGCGTACAACCTCTCTGTGGAATAATTTACCACCAGCGATTTTTCCGGACCGATACGACCTGGGGACCTTCAAGAAAAGAGCTTACTCCTTTCTAAAGGGCCGGCAACGCGTCTGCAATTCCCCTGGTGTTGCAGTTGATCATGGGCGGCGGTAGTCACTTAACATCAGGTGAGCCACATGCTCGTTTGCCCCCTCTTCTATAAAAAAAAAAAAAAAAAAAAAAAGTGGAAATATTAATAGTCACACCTATTCCATACACAGAAGCAAGTCTGCTAGCTTGACCAGCATTTTAGCCTCCTTTGACATTGGATAAGCCAAAATACTGTTCAAGGTGCCAAAGTGAAAATTCCTATCACTACCAAAACATTCTCATGGCTTCATTCAAGACACTTTCCATCAAAATATGTAGGAAATTTTCAACTATTCCGCATATGTCACGATTTGGTGTTGGCACATTTTTCATTAAAAAAACAAACTTGTTCGATGGAATATGTAATCCAAGAATAGGTCTTATGTAGTTTCTTTTTAGTGGACAATTATCTATTCACAAATTACAGGTTATTTGTGGCTGAATTGTTCAATACCACATACTCTTCAACAGACTGACAGTTACATGTAATAACTTGGCAGATGGCAACCTTTGAATAATAATTTTGATATTGCAATTTTAAGATTGATTTTATTATATCATAGGCAATCTGTTCTACTCTCACTTGAGAGGCACAGCCACATCCTATAAAAACATCAATACATAATGGAATTTAGTTAGATAATCAAAATTAGGAAAGAATTATTTCAGTAATATTGACAGATTATTCTGCAAGAGCCTTACAATTGTGATGGAGAGTTATGCAGAATTATACTAAAATTACAAGATCAAGCAAATGTCCCTAATAGAAAAATAAGTAGATTACCATAGTTGTCCATTTCCAGAGCAGGTATTCCAGTATTTATTTTGTCAGCCGTAGATAAGGTGGTAAGGCAAAATGGTGAAGAAGCAAACTACCGGTAACAAATCTCGACCCGAAGTGCTTATGATACACAAAAAATTATGTAGCTCTTCTGCATTGAGCTGCTTTTTTCACAATTTTTTTTTCACACACTTGAGTCTTACATCAATCTTTGGAAAACAATGTAATTTACATTATGACGTTTTGCAATGCGAAACACAACAAGCATTCTTCATGATGAGTACACAATTTTTAACGTGAGAGGATAAGCATGGAATTTTAACACTTCAAAGTAATTTCATTCGATCAAATCCAAATTTCCAAAACTCCAACAAACCACAACAAACTGTAATGAAATTGAAAATTTGAAATAATGAATACAGAGTATCTTTGTATAAACCACAGAGTACTTTTTTATAAATAGGAAGTATAAACTGAAAATAATGAAAGGAGTATCCTGTTCTTATACTATATCCTCTTAATGGTCTCTGTTCTCTGTGAATAAAAGTTATGGAAGTTTGGAACTCAATCTGTGGTAATAAGAAATGTCATTTTCCAAACTACCGGTTTGAATCTATGGTTGAAAATAAGGGCTAATTTTATAAGATTCTATGCCGTGATAGGCACGGACCACGGACGGAGACTCTGTGACAGACAGAGTACCATAGATTACTGTGTATATATAGGGTATGTTCCGAAATACAACGCAGTGTACTGTCCAATGCAAATGACGTCATGAATCGACGCTGTACTGGTGATTCGTTCCAAAACATTGGACAGTATATGACGTCATACTTTTGCGCCATTTTGCAAAGTTTTGGCGATTATTTTGTCATTTTGTGCTCCAAAAATCATTATATCCTCCTAATGGATATACCATCAATTATTCTATAATTTTTTGTATTTGAATAAATGGAAAACAAATTCTGGCATGCTTCATTCGGCAAACACACAAGTATTTACATTTGTATTAACCGATTTTTTTTATTAACTGGCTTTACGGCTCTGGGTTCTAGTCCTTCCAAGTCTAAATTAACGAGTCATAAGCCATAGATAAATAAATATGTAGCAAGCTTGAGACTTATATACATGAAGGTTAGAGAACAGGAGAACGATCACTACGTACTAAAGCTGTCCGTTCCTGTCCTTGAAAATTGTAGAATGTATAGCGGCGCTGACGTCAGTGAGTAGTAACTGCGAAGTTAGCTGTTTATGAGTACAAGTAGATGAAGTTAGTTGAATAATATAAAAATTTTCATTTCATATTTAATGAGAAAACTTTCATGCTCCGTAATTTTGTAATTTTTGACAAAAATAAACATTAAAAATGAAGAAATATTTTATTGTGCGTGGATGTGCAAGTGGTTTAGCATCTGATCGGAAAAATAGACTCAAAATTACTTTTATTGACCAAACCTCGAGCGATCGCAGCGCCTCACTTATGGTGTCTGTATTTCTGGGCACTATTTTCTACGGTGATTGTTCTCTTGTTCTCTAACCTTCATGATTAAATATATGGAGTTTTTTTATTAACTAGCTTTACGGCTCTGGGTTCTAACCCTTCTGAGTCTATAATTTATTTCGGAATCTTCATTTTATATTCTTTTTCTTCACAATATGCTAATGCGTCACATTGAGAAGCCCTTGGGAGATTTTGACGGCAGCTCAACCTAGCGGACAGTTTATGACAAAGTCACTCAAGTTCATAAGGCGCCCGAGCGATCAAAATAACGTGATGTTTATATCGACATCAAATCACTTGTTTCGTCGTTTTCTCTAATATTTCAAACGCGCGGACACTTAATTCATAAAATCGCATCACTTTTACGAATCAAAATCCACTTCAAACCATTATTGAAGCGACAAATCAGGAGTGACAATCCGTCTACGGCCAAGTTCCCGCCAAAACTCCACCCAATATATGGAGTGTAGAGTATGAAGCATGGAGTAGAGGTAAGGAGGACAATCTCCCATTAGGAGAATACGCAGACCATTGACAGAGAAACCTATAGACAAATAGACGCCTTCTTTCGCATTCGCACACGAAAAAGACAGATTTATGCATAGATCTTGCATAGAAATGAGACAGAGCTGTGTGATCGTTTGTCCCTTTCTCCGTGCCGGTTTTTTTTGTTTAGGAAACTACACTTTGCTAAACAACTTTGACAGTTGTACATTAAGGAGTATTAAGTAAGGAAAATTTTGAGGTGTAATTTTTAGTTTTATAACATTAAATGAAATATGTTTAGTCATAAAGGTTATTGTATAACTAACACAGGAGAGATAGTTTGGTGGTATTTCAGAATCTTCATTTTTATATTTTATCTTCACAATAAATGCCGATGCTTCACATTGGGAAGCCCTTGGCAGAATTTGACATTTTGAAAATCTCACGCCCGTCATTCATAAAGTAAAGGTAGGCAGAGACTGTGGACTTATATTTAGCACGATTCTAATATATCTCTCTCGCTGTCCTTACATCTATGTTCCTAAGTGTTCTTAAGCGTGCATGCTTTTTGACTTATCGTAGAGTACTCTTAATTTGGCCCATTATCAATGTATTGCCAATTTTTAACTTCCTTCGAGGGTGTTCCTTATTGACATTGCTACTCACTTCTGCAGCATAAATTTGCATTTCTCATTCAATCTTTCTCCGTGTCCAGATCACCAAAGCATGCCTTTTTAAATACTGGTCACACCATAAGTATGATCATCAAACCACTTTTTCCTTATCACACAATTTCTCACCCTATCATTCAGTCCCAATGTTTCTGCCGAAAGCTACCTGTCCTGCCTGTGCTCATCAATAACGCATTCCTTGAATTTTTAAATAGAGTCACATATTGAATAAAATACAAAAGTGTTTAATGCTTGGTTAAGCGGAGGTCGCATTGCTGTCTCCACACCTTCGCTTGGCTTTCTTCATACCTCTCCCGCTCCCGCTGAGGCGTTGTCACCTAACATACTTTGTACGATCGCATTTCTGCAGTATTAATTTTACTCTCATGCTTCTGAATATATTCTACATTTAGGTATACGTATACGTGCCTTTTTCCCACATTCTGACCTCCCACAATAGAGTGAAGAGTCTCAGTCTTTAGTTCTAGATTCACACTTCGTTCTTTATCCTTGCCATCCTTGATAAACACACTTCCTAAATACACAGGCTAATCCACTTGCTCTACTAACTCTCCTTTTCCTATTTTACAAAAACTATCACTTTCGTCTTACTTGCGTTTAGTTTCATTCCATTTTCTATCATTTATACATTCATCAATGTTAAAAAGACATCATACTACCATCTCGTCATATAAAGTCATCATTTGCAACTCGTCCGTCACAATTATATGTCTTAATCGTCGGCATACTAAATGCATCTGGTGGTTACTCGCCCATTCTTAACCCATATTATTTAGAGTTTCTGGCTCATTTACTGGAGATGTTACCTTTCAAAACACGCTTTCAAAACATTTCTTCCATTCCATCTCTTTAAGTACAGAGCTTCCGTCCTTTATTGATTTTCTTTTCTACTACTTCATTCACTCTCATTGGATGATTCATACTAATTGGATGTTTTAAAACTGCCTTTTTTCAGTCATCTTTCTAAAAATACTTTTTATCAATATATTTACAAGCTTGTAATGAGTATATTTGTATTAGATATAATTTATATTGAGGGTAGTGAAAGTATAAATAAACACTAGGATTTTTACATTTATTATGATATGTGGCCTCAATATTACGAAGTAAGTAACTCCATTTTTCTGTATTTTTTTCTTAATGTTGACACGGGATCTTTAAACAATATGGGATCGAGTCGAAGAATGGACCTCATAAGAGGCATATATCCCCATGCTGCAGCAAACGTGTTCAAGCAGGACTGTCGCTGGACGAAGTGTTCTGGGTCAGTCCATGATGATCTAAATGCATAAATTACATGATTAAGATACGATTCGTCGACAAATATATTTGCAATTTGGAGAAGGACAAAATTTTGATAAGTAAGATAATAAAAGATAAAGGATATGATGGTTCACCTGTAGCGATGATGCGCGGGTTTATAGCGGCGGCGCTGCGCCAGCTTGAGAGGCGGGCGACGCGTGTAGTGTGCGACGAGACAGTTGAGGAGGATGTCCTCACAGTTGCGCGCGCGGCGCACGGCCAGGCGTAGCGCGGGCGCGGCGGCACCGTACAGCGCCAGCGCCGCGCGATGCACGAGCGCCGCACCCGGCAGCACCATCGAGTACGCGCCCCCCCACTTGCTGCTGTAGCCCCAAGCGCCCTGTCCAGTACCAGCATCATGTTATATCGACACGACTACTCGACGAGCCCTCCCGTCAGATATTGAAAAGGTAATCATAATCTTTATTGCAATCAAATGGTAACCTAAGATGTGATGGTTTAAAAAAAGATCGCATTTGAACCCGGTTTGGGAGTAGCCTGATACCCACTCGGGTCGCTGGGCGCAACATAATATTTTATTGCGGAACCTAGATGTAAAATTTCAAGAATTTTTTTTGATGGGTAAACTCCGTTAAACTAACGTAAAATCCGTTCTTAGTGGGCGTCTAAACTGCGAAATAAGTATCTATAATAAATTTCAAGTAAATCGGGAGTATATTTCTAGAGATTATTTCTTGATGAGTCAGACACATATACAGTGTGTCCGGTCACGGACTAGCGATATTTTAGGTACTTATAATACAGCTATTTTAATATAAAAATACACTACACACTGAGGTCTAATCCCCCCCCCCTCTATTTGGCGGCCATTTTGTTTTTCTCTTGAGATATTCTCTATGCGTTTACGAAAAAAGTCATATCTCTGAAAGTTTTAGTCTTACTGAGATAAAAATTAATTCATTCGGAGGCCAATAATATTGTTTATCGTTTACATTATCAAAATTTTTGTTGACATACTTGTAACTTTGAAGAAAAAACATTTAACTTCAAATAAATATCAAAAAAATATGCTAATCGGCAAATTATTGTAAATTACTGCAAAAACAACCCCGTTCACCCTTTTTATTTTTATACTAGATCGACAGATTTTGAGTTAAGCTACAATACAACATAAAGTTTACAGCTGTATCCTTATTACTTTAAGAATTATTGTTGTTTGAACATAACATATACGCAAACACAAAAGGCCTTTGTTAAATGACAACTGGCACTGCCTGCTTAGGAGTAATAGTGTTCTGTGCTGCCTGCTTTCAGAGATATGACTTTTTTCGTAAACGCGTAGAGAATATCTCAAGAGAAAAACAAAATGGCTGCCAAATAGAGGGGGAGGGGATTAGACCTCAGTGTGTAGTGTATTTTTATATTAAAATAGCTGTATTATAAGTACCTAAAATATCGCTAGTCCGTGACCGGACACACTGTATATATACTGGACTATAGGCTGTAACTTTACTTTTCTTTATTAGCCCTTCAATCCCCATAAAACCCCATGCAATTCAATTCAATTAATAATCACAATGTCAAGTAATATAATATTATTTATAAAACGCGCAAAGGGCCGCTGCGAGGAGGTCGCCAGTGCGCGTCTGGAGCTGGCGCTGGACTCTACAGCATGCGAACCGCCAGCCAAGCGTGAGGAGCTGCACGACCACCCAGCAGCCCCTCGCATCCATCATCCCCACCAGCTGGATTGTTGTCGGCAGGGTCTTCGCGGGCCCAGCAATAGGCACTCGCCACAGATGGAATACGCCGCATGCGTTGGACAATGCATGTAATAAAGCCAAGAGGGGGAGCCAGGAGACCCATAGCACAGGGTAACCTAGTTTGGGCTCCTGTCTCCCACAGCTACTCAAAAACTCTTTAACTATTTATGAAACTATTGTAACTATGTAAAAAGTGGGAGAAATAAATGTTTATTATTATTATTAATGCAGATGAATAGCAACGCATTGCGGGCGTATTTTAGGGCGATACGACTGATATGCTTCAGTCTGCCGATGAGGGCCAGGAAATAACAGGCCAAGGATTGTGCGCACCGTCAAGATGGCGTTTGCCGGGACAAATGTTAGTTTGTCCCAGCCGGATATAATGCAAAAACTAACGGAGTGCATAGACGACCTGAAGTAGAGAATCGCTGCTTGGGGAAAGCGGATTCAGCGATATACCGCGAGATCGACACGATTTAACTAGAATCGTCTCTTCCAGAGTGATCAGAAGCTCTTTAAATCATTGGAGCGACCAATGGTAAGTGGAACGGGCCCAGCATTGAATCAGGCTGCCACTATCGCATTCTGGCGCAGCCTGTGGTCAGAGCCCGTACACCACAGCGACTTGGACGGAAGCTGTGGCGAATCAGTATTACGCCTATGGACCCCGTCATCATAACGCCGAATGACGTAGCTGAGGCGGTCCGTAGGGCCCCGAACTGGAAAAGTCCGGGACTCAACGGGCTGCATCACTACTGGCTGAAGTTGTTCGTGGTGTGTTACACAGTGCTCGCCCGACAGTTTCAAGAGGCTCTCAACCAAAAGTAGTTGCCTTATCTCTTCACTACTGGGATCACTCCTTTGGTTACCACAAACCCGAGCAAATATCGTCCCATCACGTGTCTACCGACCATATACAAGACACTAACATCCATTTTGAGCGCGAGAATTACTCATCACCTTGACTCGAATCAGAAGATGTCGCACGCTCAAAATAGATGGCACATGGGCGGTTGTCGTGGAACCAAGTAACCACTCCTCATTGACGCGGTCAGAGGCAAAGTGGTGAAACGCAACCGTCGAAACTTCTCCGCCGCCTGGATAGACTACATAAAGGCATCCGTGTAGTGGCAGTTGAGAATATCCACTACCCCATATTTTCCTGTGGGTGTCGTAAGAGGCGACAGAGGGAGACAGGCAGGAGATGGGCAGCAGCATCTTCCTAATAACAACAATAATATAATAAAAAACTGCGATTTTTTATTATATTATTTTTTTTAGTTAGTTATTGTTGGCTAACCCGCTCGCCAAGCGTGGCAACTATGGCAAGTATCCCCAAATGAGTAACGACACAAACAAACGGCCCCCAGTCCCCGGCGGCACCGCTATTCCTGGATACGGTGGCGACCATGGTAACGGCGGGGCAGGGGGTGCTAAGAATCTCCGGTGGAGGTTCGGTTGCCACCTACGACGACTCGACCTGGCAACATATAACGCACGCACCCTGAGGACTGACGAGAAGATACTGGAGCTGGAAGAAGAGGTAGACAAGTTGCGCTGGCATATTATTGGATTATCCGAGGTCCGAAGAGTGGGGGAGGACACGGTAATCCTCGAGTCCGGCAACTTGTTCTATAACCGGGAGGGCGACCATCTGTCCCAAGCAGGTGTCGGATTTATCGTCCACAAGTCTCTCGTCAACAACGTTGTAAAGATTGGGAGTGTGTCGACGAGGGTCGCGTACCTAATACTCAGAATCACCAAACGGTATTCGCTGAAGGTCATTCAGGTTTAAGCACCAACCTCGGCACATCCCGATAAGGAGGTGGAGAGAAATGTATGAGGATATTTCCAGAGCTACGCATTCCTCTAAAGCCCACTACACGGTGTTGATGGGATTCTTCAACGCAAAACTAGGCACAAGAGAAAGCGGTGAGCTGAAGTTAGGGAAATTTGGAGTAGGGCAACGGAACTGTAGGGGCCAACAGCTGGCCGACTTTATGGAGAAAGAGGGACTCTTTATGATGAACTCTTTCTTCCAGAAGCGGCCCCACAGGAAGTGGACCTGGTTGAGCCCCGACGGTTCGACAAAACATGAGATTGACTTCATTATGACAACCAGACGCCAACTGTTCAGTGATGTCTCAGTGATCGCAAGGGTGAAAACTGGCACCGATCACCGAATGGTTAGAGGCACACTGAACCTAAACGTGAAGTTGGAGAGGTCTCGTCTAATGAAAACGCTCCGTCCCCCTCGTACTCTAATCCAGAATCCCGAAACATTTCAGCTCGAGTTACTTAACCGCTTTCACTGCCTAGAAGATTGCAATGCAGTGGACGATATGAATGACAAGCTCGTGGAAACTGTCCATGCGGTCGGAGCTAAGTTCTACAAGACCCGCCGCAGAAGAACACAAAAACTCTCCGATCACACTCTTCATCTCACGGCTGTTAGACGGGAGATGAGGCTGCAATCGTCAACAGATTTGACAGCATACAGGCAACTGAACAGACAGATCTCCAAATGCATGCGGCGAGACTTGCGCAAATTTAATACTGCTCGTATTGAAGAAGCGATCGAGCGGAGATTTGTCTGCCAGTAAGAGCCAACTGCTAAAGCTGAAGACTGAGTGTGGCACAATCGTTTCCGGGACACCTGAGATTCTGAGTGAGATTGAGAAGTTCTATGGGCAGCTGTACACATCAACGTTGGAGCCACACGCAAGTGTGAGTAACGATCCAAGAGCAAGTCTTATCCGACACTATTCCGACGATATCCCGGACGTCAGTTTGAGCGAGATTAGAATGGCTCTCCAGCACCTTAAAAACGGCAAGTCCCCGGGACGAGGTTGGAATTACAGCGGAGCTTCTGAAAGCGGGTGGAAAACCGGTACTTGAAGTCCTTCAGAGGCTCTTTAATTCCGTCCTCCATGGTGGCACTACTTCAGAGGCGTGGAGCGGAAGTGCGGTGGTCTTGTCCTTCAAGAAAGGTGACAACGCCCTCTTGAAGAACTACAGACCGATATCCCTTCTGAGCCGCGTCTACGTGCTGTTTTCGAGAGTCTTTACGAATAGTCTCGCACGCAGACTCGACGACTTCCAGCCTCCCGAACAAGCCGGTTTCCGAAAAGGCTTTAGTAGCATAGACCACATACATACCCTTCGGCAAATTGTACAGAAGTCCGTAGAGTGCAATCTGCCACTTTGCCTGGCGTATGTGGACTATGAGAAAGCATTTGATTCCGTCGAAATTTGGGCGGTGCTACAGTCTCTTCAGCGGTGCCAAGTTGACTGTCGGTATATCGAAGTGCTGAAGTGTTTGTACAGTAGAGCTACGATGGCTATCCGAGTACAGAACCAGAGTACGAAACCTATCCAACTGCAGAGAGGTGTAAGACAGGGTAACGTTATTTCCCCGAAACTCTTCACCGCTGCATTGGAAGACGTTTTCAAGCTACTGGACTGGAAAGGATACGGTATTAACATTAATGGGGAGTACATCACTCACCTTCGATTTGCCGACGATATAGTCCTTAAGGCAGAATCGCTGGAGGACATAAACACTATGCTCAATGACCTCAATAGTGCCTCCCAACTGATAGGTCTTTAGATGAACATGGACAAAACAAAGATCATGTTTAATGCCCATGTCACACCTATGCTGGTAGTTGTTGGGAACACTAAGCTCGAAGTTGTTGACGAGTACGTTTACCTGGGATAAATAATTCGACTAGGTAAGTCCAACTTCAACCGAGAGGTCAATCGACGGATTCAACTCGGCTGGGCAGCGTTCGGGAAATTACGACGCATCTTCTCGTCAGGTATACCTCAAAACATGAAAAGTAAGTTGTACAACCAGTGCGTGTTGCCAGTGATGACCTACGGAACCGAGACGTGGTCCTTCACTGCTGGCCGTATGAGGACGCTCAAAGTCGCCCAGCGAGCTATGGAGAGGGCTATGCTCGGAGTTTCTCTGCGTGATAAACTTAGAAATGAGGCTATCCGCATTAGAACCAGAGTGACCAACATAGCCCGACGGATTAGTAAGCTGAAGTGGCAATGGGCCGGCCATATAGCTCGAAGAACCGACAACCGTTGGGGATAAAAGGTTCTCGAGTGGCAGCCTCGTACTGGTAGGCGAAGTGTAGGGCGACCCCCCACTAGATGGACTGACGACCTGGTACGACATGCAGGAAGTCGATGGATGAGGGTGGCTCAGGACCGTGCTTTGTGGCATACCTTGGGGGAGGTCTATGTTCAGCAGTTGACTTGTGAAGGGCTGTAATGATGATGATTATGATGGAACCCAAACAGATGAGAAAACTGTAGAGATACCCCATAATAGTCGTAATAATTAAAAAAAATTAAATAGGCAGGCCGAAGAAGTTGTCGACACAGATTAAATAATATTTGTATCAAAATATTCTTTTTAATTATAGAAATAAATTTCAATAATTTTTAATGTCATCTGGAAGGTTATTAAAAAAATTTACTGTCACACAGTGGATTAGAGCTATGTAACGCGATTATAGATTTCAGCAATATCAGCCGATTCTTATTCGGTCTAATTGAGTACTTGGAATTAGTTTTGGTGAATTGTTCCTAGTGTTTTTTTACAAATTTGAATGTTTCCCAAATATATATAAACGTAAAGCTTTTTGAAGTGGAGCCGACAACTTTTTGGAATTTTTATATTTGCCAAGATTCTTATAAATTTTTCAGGATTATAAATAATTGTTGTGCATCAGTACTATTTCCCCACAACATGACATCGTATGATAGCCACAAAATGTGTATGCGTTATATGACGACAGGGCGTTGGGAACATCTCTTGGTTTTATTTCTCGTAATGCGTATGTGAACTTAGATGGCCTAATTTTTACTTTATTTATATGGGTTTTCCAGTTTATATGGCAGTGGCTTTCCAGGCCTAGCAAGTTGACGTTATGAATAATTCCTATAGATGTAATACTTAGCCTTAATAATGATTTAAAATTAATCTCTAGGTTGTGATGATGTGTCAGCGAATTTGTAACCTGGTTCAAGACATGGTTCAGTTTATTTTTATTTAAATTCTGATCTTTGACACCGTCATACCTTACGAGGGTTGTGTTCGCAATTTAGGTCTCCTCATGGATGAGAATTTAAAATTTGAGCAACATGTTCGGACACAAAACGTGATATAAGACTGATACTTTGTAACAGTTTAGTACTATGTCGCATTCATTATTGTGATATTGTTTATGGTCCATGCTTATTTAAAAAAAACTGAGAAGAATGTATAGAGAGTGCAGAACGCATATGCGTTTTTGTTTTAATATACCGAATATAAAATGTCATTACTGACTACATTAAGTGAAATAGGATTTCACTTAATGTAGTCAGTAATGACATTTTATATATTATATCTTTCTGCACACACTGCAACACGCAGAGTCTCCTAGATATTTGTATAATAAGATAGCCGTTGAAAAAAAAAGTTTGTGTTGAGTCAGAGAAAAATATCATTGGCTTCCAATACCCAGGATAAGACTCGCTGGAGCCAGGGGATGTTTTATATTTGCCGCTGCTAAAATTGTGAACGATTTGCCACCACCAATCCGGTCCACCATATTTCTGTCTACCTTCCGACAAAGATGCTGCAAGTGGCTGATTCAACAGCAGTCCCTGGTTCTATGTGGCTCTGATATCCCATCAAATTAGAGAAAGTTTTTTGTGTTTTAGTAACTATAATTTATCTATTATTTAATTTTTTATTTATTTATCATTTATACGTGTATCATCAATTGCCTAAGATCCTATATGGTTAAGGACGCGTTTGCGAATCGGGCAAAATTATGCTGTTTTACGGTACATTTTGTGACAAAACTAAACCAAATGAAATATAACTAATCACGTATTGGATACTAATTATGATAGGATATGATTATAATACGAGATTGGTTCTTCATCTTCAAATGGTAGTAACGTTTTTGTTGAAAATAATAGCTTTTTATATTATTAAAACGATCTTCTATTGCCATTTTCCACAAAATTACACTGGCACATTTTTTGTTCTATTATCAACATATTTTAAGATTTCTAAAAATACTATAAGTAGGCAGACATATTCAATAAATAATAGTATGTATTTTTAATCAAAATGGCACAAATAGTCCAAGAAAAAATAAAAGCAGATACTTATTTTTCACATATTTTGCTAATATGGATGAATCTTAAATTATTGTAAAAAGGGTTTTTTTATTTTTGGTCCCTTTTTTTTTGATTTATTGCACAAAAATTTATATTGCAACCTCAGTCACAGTCGTCCGCCGTCATCAGTGGACACTGCATCGTCCGGTTTCGGGGGCCAGTGTTTAAAAACTTCGCTGTACAAATACAAAATACGTTCGTCTCGGACTTTATGGAGTGACCTGAAGGTGTTGTACATCGGTGACTATTACGGGAACTGTTCGACGAGTAGAACTTGGTGTGCCGAGTTAGGGTTCGTTTTGTGAGTTTACGATGAGACCTTACCTTCGGACTTATGGAGTGACCTGAAGGAGTACTTTGGTGACTGCTACTGACACTTCTCGACGAGTAGAACTAGGTGTACCGAGTTTGGGCTCCTTTAGTAAGTTATGATGAGACCTTACCTCTGAACTTGATGGAGTGAGGTGAAGGTATACTTCGGTGAATGCAAACTCGGAACATCTTCTAACATTGCGATCGGTCTATAATTTGTAGTGTCTGTTTTTCTATCCCTTTTTATTTATAGGTATATATTTATCTATCTGAGAACGTTTCTTCCGTAAAAGATTGGTTGACTAAAAACTAAACGGAAAAGTTAATGATCAACAGATTTTATTTATTTTTATTATTTAATTTTTGATAATGTTACTAATTTCTTCTGGTTTAACAGGACATAATGATTCAGTATTTAGTGTTATTGATGATATTGAGGTTCCGATAATACCCATCAACAAGTAGTGACCATGGAAAACTGAACGAAAGTATATAATTCCGGATTAAGTGCATTTGAATCCAGAAATGTTGTCTGGTTCTTTTAGCTTTCATTTTTTGTTTTAAGTAGTCTGCCTCCCACGGTTCACGCTTGCGGAAAAATAAATTATTGCAGTCTAATAAAATGATTGTTTCGAGGAGTTACGAACATCTGGATGGCGTACTTTTTAATGGTTCAAATCTTTGGTGTTTGATTACAATATTTTTACAGAAAATAATTGTTATATCTAAAATTTTTGACGAAATTTTGTACTTATATAAAGTTTTGATTTTTTTTAACGCACTAAACAATATCAAAAGCTCAAGACAGCAACTAAAATGTCGTTTTAATAGTTACATTACAAAACTTTATTTCAAATTTAGGAAGAGAATTTCTCTCGAGTGTAAGAATATTTTGCCCTGAAGTATAACTCATTTTTAAAAGAAGAATCATTAAATCCAGTTTACAATAGACGAATATTTCGCATAACAAACATACAAAAAAAATTACAAAGAAGAACACAGTCGAATTGAGAACCTATGCCTTTTTTAAGTCGGCTGGAAATGGATTTTTCGTCGTATTTTGTTCACACGTGTTCCTTTGCTATTATAATAGTATATATGATAATAGTCATATATGACTACCTTGACAAAGTGAATTGTGTGTATAGTGTGCGTGTTTGCTAAAGTTCTGAAAAAAAAAATATTGCAACACATGCCATGCTCATGGCATGTGTTGCAATATTTTTGTAGATAGTAAAATTAATCGAATATATTCAAGAAAATTGTAAAAACCACTAGACATAGAAGTAAATATTTTAATTCTGTAAACCCATAACATAGGATAACCTTTTTATATTATACTAAAAGATAAAGGAATCATACCTTTGCTTCATCCCAATAATGACTTCTAGCTGGATAACCAACAATGCGTTCAGGGAAATGTTGCCATACTTGGAATGCAAAATCCAACTCTTCAGCAAGTAATGGTGCATCTCCATCCAATGAGAAAACAGCTGCAGTGGGAATGGCCCACAACGGCTGCCACCTTGCCGAAACACCTTCGCTGTTGAATTATGAAGCTATTAAACAGAGCCTAATTTGTGAAATGTAAAATGAGTTAATTATGTAAAAGAATAATGATTTCTTATATTTACGCGATCATAAATTACGATTTCTTATATGACGACAAGCACCGACGCTGCGGATAGTCTGCAGTTCAAAACCGTCCCCGCCATTACATCAGTTTTGATAAACTATCTAACAACATAACTTTATTCGCAAGAGAATATCGGTTCTTACTAAGGATTTTTCGCCAGCCTATTGAAATTATAAACCATACAAATTTCAATAGAGACGATATCGCGTTGCTACCATCTGCTTGGGATCCTATAATTAACCCAAGAATACCACTGCAAGACTTTAAGATATGGTAAGCTCGTTCCGCGTAGATCAGACCAAAAATTAATATTTTAAAGCAGAAGGTAGCTAAGTAAGTAGGTAGGTAGAAGTACTATGACATCGGAATTTCAAAAGTAGATATGTGAATAACGGCTTAAAATGGACAAAAAGCTTATGTGTTTAATTTTATTTTCGTTTATTAATTAAACGTGAATTGTTGTAAAAAGTATAATAATGATTATTATTATTTGGTATTTTAGCTTAATGACTTGTATTATAGTATATTCACTGAGAAAATGTCGGTACACCCGGAGGCGCACTTATCATATTGCTTTTATTTTATTTTTTACCGTGTTTATTTAAACTCATCGATCAATCCATTTATATATAGGTTAAAGAGCCTCGGTGAAGTTAAGCCCCCCTGTCTCACTCCACATTCCAACCTATATTCACTTGAGTATGAATATTATTTGATTGGTTGTGGTACCAATACCTTAATATATCGACTATCTCTCTAGGCGTACTCGTTTCCCTCCGAAGCTTATCCCATAATAGGTTGTACGAGACCAGGTCAAATGCCTTCGACAAGTCCAAAAAACAGGCGTAGACAGGCGTTTTTCTCGTAACATAATACTGGACGGTATGCTTGAGTCGCAAGATTGCTGTTTCAGTGGGCAGTTCAGGTATAAACCCAAACTGTGCCTCATGTACCTGCATATGTTTACTTATTCGACGATCAAGCAAACCATCCAATACTTTGGTTATCACTGTAGCTAGCGAGATCGGTCTATAATTGTTCTTGTCGGCAGCATCCCCGGTCTTATTCTTTAGAACTGGTACCACTATGGTCTTCGTAAGTTCCTGAGGTAAGTATTCATGCCCTATACATGCATTATAATAGAGCATAGTCAATACCCTAGGCAGATGAACTCCCGCATAATGCAGGTGCTCAATACTGAGATCATCATGTCCAGGTGATTTACCACGTGTCATATTATTTATGACATTTGCGACTTCTTTCGCAGTAAATCTAGCAGATTCACTGCATGATTTCTCCTCAATATCGAACACCCGCTGCACCGGTCCCAATGGAGATTCCACTTTGAAGTGTTCCCTAAAAACTTCTGCGATATGATGGGGCTTACTCTTACCATCGATATTCGCAGGTAAGCATGATGTAGTTTCCAGCTTCTTTGTTCGTTTCCAAAAACTCTTAAAATCTTTTTCTTTGTGGTGAGTAGCCAAATTATCCATTTTTAACAATATCGAACATTATCGCGTGATAAATAGATATATGGTCATATTTTGCATGATGTAGTACGATGAGAGCCAAAATTTTATTACAGGACGTTTTGACGACAAAAAAATCCAACAGCAAATAAATGCTTTTGTTCTGTCTATTAAATTATAACATTTTAAAACATTACGAAATTGATTCGAATTTGATAGTCTAAAATAAATATCTAATTTCGATTTATCGCGATTGAAAATATCGACGATAAATATCGATGATTTTGAGAGAAAATATCGATATTTCGATATTGCGTTCAGTTCAATAGGATCAGTTAAATTAAATTAAGAGTAACAGTCAGAGCCTAGTGGCTCTTGCCTAGCTCTTTAATAAACACTTAAGTACTTTTCTTCATTTGAAATAGTGCTAAGATGTAAAATTGGATATATATATATATAGGTCATATTAAGCTGTCAGGCAGTGGCAGTCACCATCAGGTAAGTGACATGCTTGTAAGTTCCATCTTCCATCTTCCTTAAAAAAAGTAAATAGGTAGAGATAACTTGATTCTTACCCAGGATAATGTGTTGTTGCGTCTATAACTACAACTGGTAGAGGGTCGCGAACGTCTCCCACCATACGTGGCAGAGTCTTCAGTGTAGGTGCAGCTCGTTCACTATCCCATACTAACACTACCTATAATAATAGAACAATATTCAAAATTTGAGAGACTCTATCGAAGGTAAAGTCGAAGGATTCAAATGCCTCAGGAGCGTGCTTTGTCGCAATGTGCAGGTGGAATAAAATAAAATCTGCATGTCTATAGTAATTACAAAAAACTTCACAAAAATATGACTTTAAATTTTATGACTTTTATTTATTTGACTTGTAATTATTTTACATTCAGTATATGGGTTAAATGTGGAGACTGCAAAAATTAAAGTAATAGGGTATTTTACCAATTTTCAAAAATTCTTTTAAATGAATCATAGTGATAATGAACCACTATAATTTTTTAAACCGAATAGTGTCATAAAAATTATTTTTAATCTATCGTTTTAAATTTTCGCGTGAAAACGCTAGCCGCCATGTTGTTTAACTCGTGACGTCACAGTCGTCAATTCTGCCGATTTTGCAAAGGAATAAGATACTTTTTAATGTTTAATAATGAGTTATCATCTAAATCATTGTTGTTTTGTACCTGAATGCAAAAATACGAGCATAAGAACGCCGGAAAAGTTATGGATTCAAGTGCTAACTGATTTAAATATAAGAAATACTTGGCTAAAACTGGCAAGAAGATACATTCTAGACTACTAGAAGACTAATATGGCGGACACCGTTTTACAGATTTAAGGCACAGACGAAAAAAAATTCTTACAATGGAAATATAACATTTATAATGGAATTTTACAGAGAGATCATATCTCGTTTACTTTTTACAAAATCTATCATAAATATATATTTTTTGATTTTATTTCACATGGTGTATTTTCGAACACGAGATCCGACGTTGCTCTATATCAATGCTGATTTTGGACAGGATACGACTAACGAATGCTTCTTCTCTTCTCTTTTGAATCTTTGGTTTCGTCGCTTTCATAGTGAAAACTTCGACGAAGAATTAACCAAGAGGAAGACTAGACATGAAGGTAAATAACAATGAATTAAAGTGATGTTGGAAGCCAAGCCTTATAAACAAACAAGAAATAAGTGTGATGGTTTGAAGTTAGTTTACCTTCAATATTCACCTATTTGCAACTAATTTATACTTAAATATAAAAAATACAACACATGTTATTTGGCGGCATATATGGGTAAGAGGTAGATAGCTACGCAGATGGATTCCTAGCCAGAAAAGAAGTCCACTTAGGTCTAATTAGTCATTATTCAGGGATTAATCCACTGAGATCTATTCCCCTTCCCCTCTTTGTGATAGCCATTTTCTTTTTTTCTTGAGTTATTCTCTACGTATGTACAAAAAAAATTATATCTCTCAACGTTTTGGTCTCACTGAGATAAAAATGGGTTTGTTCGGAGGGCAACAATATTGTCTATCGTTTACATTACGAAAAAATGGGTCCACATACGCGTAACTTAAAAAAATATATTTAAGTCCAAATAAATATTAAAAAATTATGCAAATCGGCAAATTATTGTTAATTACTGCAAAAACAACCCTGATTACCCTTTTTATTTATTTTTCTAGATCGACAGATTTTGAGTTAAGCTACTAAAAACATTAAGTTTACAGCTGTATGCCTATTACTTTATTGTTGTTTGAACATAGCGTATGGGCAAGCACAAAGGGCATTAATTTGTCGAAACCCTAAACAAGAAAGCATTAAAACAGTTACTTATTAGTTTTTATTTAATTGTTTTACAAAATAGACCTTTAATTAAAATATCTAAAGCAGTCGCTCAAAATGGCGGCCTCCAGCTTGTACACAAAGCTAAAGCTCTATGTGCCACCTGAGTTGATAAGCGCCTAATCATTTGTAAATCAGATCTTATTTCTTCGGCGACTAGCGTGTTTGAAACTGTGGCGAACATCCTTTGTTTCATACGATCACACAAAAAATAATCCAAAGGTGTCAGTCAAATCGGGTGAGCGAGGTGACCACGCTACTAGACCACCGCGAATGGTTGTTTGTTATTTAAATAGTCTTTCACTGCTCGAGAAAAAAGCGCAGGTACACCATCAAGCTGGACCCATATACATGGTACGACAAAGGTTGCTACATAAGGCTATCTGCAAACTGTGTCTCTGGGTACTCCAGGAATCTAATGCCATTTAATGTAGGAGGCAATTTCAACGGCCCTATCAAACGATCATTGATTATACCTGCCCACACATTCACAAAAAATTTGTGTTGAAACGAACATGGGCGCACCGCTTGTGGGTTTACCGAGCACCTGAGATGATCATTTCTGTGATTTGTAATGCCAGCTCTTGTGAATTTAGCTTCGTCAGTCCACGATCCAGATCCACGAAAAAATAAAGATCTTGTTTTAAAATCTTTTTTTTTTATATAGAAGCGGGGGCAAACGAGCATACGGTTCACGTGATGTTAAGTGAATACCGCAGCCCATGATCAACCGCAACACCAGGGGAATTGCAGGTGCGTTGCCGGCCCTTTAGAAAGAAGTAAGCTCTTTTCTTGAAGGTCCTCAGGTTGTATTGGTCCGGAAAAATCGCCGGTGGTAAATTATTCCACAGAGAGGTCGTACGCGGAAGAAAACTCCTGGCGAAACGTACAAAGGTGGAACCCCAAGCATCCAGATGGTGTGGATGGTATCGGGAGGTTTGCCGCGTAGTGCGTTCATGAAATTTGGCGGCTGGGATTAATCCGAACAATTCCTCAGAGCACTCCCCGTGATAAATGCGATAAAATACGCAAAGAGATGCAACATCTCTTCGCAGCGCCAGTGAATCGAGCCGATTGGAAAGCAGTCGGTCGTCGACGATTCGAGCCGCTCTGCGCTGGATGCGGTCAAGTGGAAGGAGCTGGTACTGGGAAGCCCCAGCCCAGAGATGGAAACAGTATGCCATGTGCGGCCGAATCTGCGCCTTGTAAAGTTGCAGGCGGTATGCCGGCATGAAATACTGTCCCGCTGAGCACGCCAAGCTTTTTAGAGACCAATTTGGCCTTCTTTTCCAAGTGACCACGAAACAACACGTCACTCGATATATCGACGCCGAGGATTCCGATTCTGGCTGAGGCAACAAGGAGAATGCCTTGAAACTGAGGAGATACGACAAAAGGGTTCTTTTTAGCGGTTAACGCGCAAACTTGTGTCTTCTGAGGGTTAAACTGGACTAGATTTGGTCGCCCCCAATCCGAGACTGTTCCACAAAGACTCGACTTCAGACACAAGTTTGTCCCGGTACTCGGAGATTTTTTCTCGTGAAATATTGGCAGGCCGGTGTACAGATCATCACCAGTGCTGTCACCTGCACAGCAATAAATGTTGCAGGTTTGCAACATATCATTGATATGCAGAAGAAACAGCGTTGGTGATAACACGCAGCCTTGTGGAACACCAGCATTAATAGGCCTGTAATTGGAGCTTGCATCGCCTACAACGACCTTGATGCTCCGATCTGCAAGAAAGCTGGTGATCCAATTGCACAATTTCTCGGGAAGCCCATAGGACGGGAGCTTCAAAAGAAGTGCTTTGTGCCAAACCCGATCGAAGGCCTTCGCAATGTCCAAACTAACGGCCAATACCTCCCCCTTAGACTCTACTGCCGCCGCCCATCTGAGTCAGGTAGACCAGAAAATCACCAGCTGATCGACCACGACGGAAACCGTATTAGCGATCACTTATCAGCAAGTGGTTCTCAAGGTACCTCATGAGCTGGTAATTTACAATGGGTTCCATTGTTTTAGTGATGGCGATGGGCCTGTAGTTGGACGGGTCTGAGCGGTCACCTTTTTTAGGAATCGGGTGAACGAAAGCCGTCTTCCATGATTTTGGGACTACGCCTAGAGAGTAGGAGTACCGGAAAAGATGCGCTGAGACCGGTGCCAACTCTGGAGCACAAGTCCTCAGCACAATTGGGGGGACACTGTCAGGCCCACTCGACTTGTGGATGTCCAGGGAGAGGAGTGCTCTGCGAACCGAGCGCTGTGAAAACCGCACCTCCGGCATGGAGCACTCACACTATGGGATGGTCGGCGGCGTACTCCCCCCGTCATCGAGAGTCGAGTTGGACGCAAAGAAAGAGTAATAAAGAAATTAATTAATTTGCAACCTTCCGCTAACTAAATACAATGATGTGTCTTACCTGGATTGAAGAGCACCTCGCGCCCTCCCTCAATTGCATGCACAAATCCCGTCACCACTAACCCCAACACCACTACTCCCAACACCACTACTCCAGGAAAGACACACCATCTACGATAATACGACACGTGTTTCGCCTCTACACGAGGTATCCTCAGGTGATGTAGATTCTACGGCGGCTGACCGCTAAGTCCCAGCCAGCCCCAGTCCCCGGCGGCTCCGCTATTCCTGGTACGGTGGCGACCATGGTAACGGCGGGTGGGTGCTAAGAATCTCCGGTGGAGACACGTGTCGTATTAACGTCTATGGTGTGTCTTTCCTGGAGCAGTGGTGTAGGGAGTAGTGGTGCCGGGAGTAGTGGTGTTGGGAGTAGTGGTGCTGGGACTAGTGGTGACGGAGTTTGTGCATGCAATTGAGGGAGGGCGAGAGGTTCTCTTCAATCCAGGTAAGACACATCATTGTATTTAGTTAGCGAAAGGTTGCGAAGTAATTAATATTTTTATTATAATGGATTTCCGCAAAGTAAAGCCCGATTCTATCAATTAGCAAAGAAAGAGCCTAGCAGATCGGCTTTCTCCTTTGCAGCATGGACCAGTGAGTTATCCTCCCTGTGCAGAGATGGCTGACAGAAATTCCCCTGGACAGCTTTGACGAGAGACCAGAATGCACGGGTTCCAGAAGGAAGGCGAACTAGTTTCTCGCCGATTCTGCCTATGTGCTCTGACTTTGCCTTAGCAATGACTCTTTTTAAGGACCTGGAGGCGGAATTATACTTCTTTTTTAGAGCGCTGGTGTTTACATCCCGTATGTTAATGCGTCAGCGTAGGCTTGGTAGCACTCCTGCTTATAGCATGATGCTATTTTACAGGAGCGACCAAGCCAATTCGCCCCCAAGGGTACCACTACCCTATTCCAATCGGCTGACCTATAGTTCCAAACACGGCGGCAGCCTGCAGAATGCAACCGCGATTTCAGCGTGAGTGGCACCACACTCCGGACAAGACAATGGTCAGAGGAGCCTAAAGGGACGTTGACGGAAATCTGCTTCTGCTCGTCTCATCCGTCCGGATGAGATATTAGCAGAAGGTCCAACAGGGAAGGTGTATGATCCTCCACATCTAGAGTCCACGTAGGCAAAGTAATCAATTGTTTCAGACCATATCATCATCATCATTACAGCCCTTCACAGGTCCACTGCTGAACATAGGCCTCCCCCAAAGAATACCACAAAGCACGGTCCTGAGCCACCTGCATCCATCGACTTCCTGCATGTCTTACCAGGTCGTCACTCCAACTAGGGGGGGAGGAGGTTTGCCCTACACTACGCCTACTCGAAGTTGTTGACGAGTACGTTTACTTAGGACAAATAGTCCGACTTGGTAAGTCCAACTTCGACCGAGAGGTCAATCGACGGATTCAACTTTTTGCCAGTGACGACTTACGGATCTGAGACGTAGTCCTTCACTGCTGGCCGCATGAGGACACTTTTGCTCAGCGAGCTATGGAGAGGGCTATGCTCGGGGTTTCTCTGCGTGATAAACTTAGAAATGAGGATATCCGCAGTAGAACCAGAGTGACCGACATAGCCCAACGGATTAGTAAGCTGAAGTGGCAATGGGCCGGCCATATAGCTCATAGAACCGATAACCGATGGGGATGAAAGGTTCTCGAGTGGCAGCGTCGTACCGGTAGGCGTAGTGTAGGGCGACCGCCCACATATTTCAAATAACTTGACGTTGTATTTATTTCAAATTCACACAAAAATATGTTTGAAATATTGTTCGAAATGTCATACAGATAAAATATTATTATTACTTTTTTTAATTTTTTAATATTTTAATATTTTGGTATGAGTAACGAATGGAAACACATAAAACATAAAAATATACATATTTCCAAACATTTTCATATAAATTTCTCCAAAAACAAAAGTGTAGAATTCAAATTAGTAGTAATTTTGTCACTAAAATTGAAGTATATACTACTACTATGCTATACAGGGTAATTTACGTATTTTATTACAATTTCTAGCTACCAAAAATAATTTTATTCGATAGTTTATACATTCAACAAGAATTCCTGTAAGTTTTATCCATAAATATTGTCTCAAAGTGAAAATATAGCAAAATTTGCAATATAGCAAAAAATTTTCTAACTTACAAATTTTCCTGCCATTAAGGTCCCGAGTGAACGGGAGTATAACATGTCGCGCGCTCGCTTGGCGAACAGGTTCATGATCATTGTTTTGTCCATGTTCATCTTAAGACCTATCCGTTGGGCGATACTATTGAGGTCATTGAGCATAGTGCTTAGGTCCTCCAGCGATTCTGCCATAAGGACTATATCGTGGGCAATCGAAGGTGAGTGATGTACTCGCCATTGATGTTAATACCGTATCCTTTCTAGTCCAGTAGCTTGAAAACGTCTTCCAATGCTGCGGTGAAGAGTTTCAGGGATATAACGTCACCCTGTCTTACACCTCTCTGCAATTGGATAGGTTTCGAACTCTGGTTCTGTACTCGGATAGCCATCGTAGCCCTACTGTACAAACACTTCAGTACTTCGATATATCGACAGTCAGACCATATGCCAAGGCAAAATCATGAACAGATCTCACCGCATGATCGGTTAAACGTGAACCAAGCTATTTGGCGTGATAGGCGTTAAAATCGCCGAGGATCATGATCTCTGCGGAGGGGATCTGCTGTAGCAAAGAATCTGTAGCCATTTGGACGTGGTCGAAGAGTCGGTCTCTTTCGGTATTACCGCTATGGGACCTATAGAGGCACCCGTAGACGCGCGGATGGTCGTCGCTGTCTATGCGTAGGCAAAGGATGGACAGGTCCGAACCTTCAAGACTGCCGAGGCGTCGAAAACAGATGTCCACTCTGACGTACACGCAAACTCCAGCTCGAGGCACAAAGGAGTGTTCCAGTTTGTACCCCGGGTAGGAGAGATACGAAACATGAGCCGGAGAGGACACCTGCGTCTCGGTTAGAATGAGCAGAGCCGGCCTCGTCGTCTCGAGATGGTAGTGGACGGCGTTTAGGTTAGAATGAAGTCCCCTGATATTGCAGAAATTCACGGATAGCGTGGCAGGGGTCGCCTTGGTCTTGTTGCTCAGTTTGCCCCGAGCAGTTGTTGTCTTGAGCGGAATTTTGCCCCCCTCAGAATACGCGGGGCAGCCTGAGCACCCACGCTCAGGAGTGGAGTAACTTGGTCGTGGATGCTCAGCGAGGGATTCTTCAGGGGTGCGGGTCCTGGGGTGAACTTTACTTAATTCCGCTACCATGTTAAGAGGGGAGGGGGGGGGGAATTGGGCCTCCGGCCACCTACAACCACCAGACAAAACGCGGAAGTTGAGCTTCCACCTCACGCCGGTATTCTGTGAGGTCGTGGTACCACCCTGGTTTGAGCCGGTCCATACGTGCAACAGCAAAGCTGCCGCGTGGCTCTACCATTGTTTATTCTAATCTGTTACGAGGATGTCTTGGACCCGTCGGAAATAAAACGGGTGTAATCTCTCTCTTGTCAAAATTCTCCATACATTCCACTTAGACAGATGTAGTTGCACTGCAATCCTTCAAATGCTTAGTCTGGGATCACTGGTTATTAGCCTAAGCACTCATTAACAGCCCTTTGAATGCTCCTTTCCGCTATTCTTGAGTGCACGTCGACAAAAGTTTAGGCAATATGTGGCGCTAAATATTGACTAAATATTAGTACTTATATTGATTTTCCGTATTTGTATCACACTCCTAATGATAAACAGTAATACAGCATGTAAACAGCACAGACAGTAAGTCAATTGTCAAACTGTGATTTTTTGAGGTAAAGAAACAGTGTTCCATCTCAGTTACTAATGCTAGTAGCTTTCAGTATTTTTAGCCTGCTCTTGAATTAATGCATCACTGCATCAATCGCAGGCAGTGACACTAAACAAAGGTCTTTTGTGTTTGCGCATAGGCTATATTCAAACAACAGTAGTTCTTAAAGTAATAAATATACAGCTGTAAACTTAATGTTGTATTGTGACTAAGCTCAAAATTTGTCGATCTAGTAAAAAAATAAGAAGGGTAATTAGGGTTGTTTTTGCAGAAATTTACAAAAATGTGCTGATTTTAATTGGTTTTTTTAATATTTATATAGACTTTAGTATATTTTTTAAAGTTACAAGTATATAAACCCTTTTTTTTTCGTAATGTAAAACGATAGACAATATTGTTGCCCTTCAAATGAGCCTATTTTTATCTCAGTGAGACCAAAACCTTGAGGGATATGATTGCTTTTGTACAAAGAAAGAAGAAAATGGCTTTCACATAGAGGTGAAGGGGATTAGACCTTTGTGTATTGTATTTGTGTATTAAAATAGTTGTAATATACTATCATCATCATCATCACTGCAGCCTTTCACAAGTCCTCTGCTGAGCATAGTTCTCCCCCAAGGAATGCCACAAAGCACGGTCCTGAGCCACCTACGTCCATCGACTTCCTGCATGTCTTACCAGGTCGTCACTCCATCTAGTGCTGTGACATCCTACACTATGTCTGCCGGTTATATAAGTACCTAGAATATCACTAGACTATGACCGGACACACATGTATATATGCCACAGTTTGACACAGGCCTACTTTCATTATATCTAGAGTGTATGCATAAGATTAAATTGAAGTTACTATCCCTTTAACACAACAGAGTTTTATTTGCATAACATAATATGTAGCCACCATAACAATAATTAACTAGGAGAATAATAGGTACATAAAAATATATCCTTATATAATATTTTGGCAACAGGTTGCAAGGCATTTCACCTTAGTCCTTAGGAGTGGCAAAATATATAAAACCTTTACGCACAAACGCACATAAATTTTGCTTCATATTATCATGTAGAAAGTCTATTCTACTTTTATTCTAATAATTCAACTAAATTACCTTTTCACAAAATTCACTGCTTGCAATATTAGCTAGCAGTTTATGTAAGGCTGGAGATGTTGCTTGGACATACAATAATGCTGTAAATGTTTCCCCAAGTGTAGGAGGTGGAGCAGTGGATGGCACTGATGGCACTGGAAGGGGGATTGGTGGAGGCGACGGGGCTGGTGGGGCTACTGGAGCAATTGCCGCTACAGGGAAATGCGCTCTGGAATCTCCATAAGTAGCCAGGGTCCCTAGCGCTCCTGGTGAAGCATTCCAAATGAGCGCATCACGTTGCCTTGATGACCGATGGGCTAATATGCGCTCAAATAAAAGCTGCAAGAAATCACTTAATCAGAATAATATTGTATTTGTCAAAGAAGAAAATGAAATTTAAAAAATTTTACCTCAATTGTAGTAAAAACTATTTTCTCAATAGAAGAAAAGTACTGCTCCCATAGTAATTGTGTTTGTTGTCTTAAAGCAAGTATACGCTCAGGAGGAACTGAGCGTACAAGTTCTGGTACCTATATTTAATATATACAAAATGAAATACAATGAGAAAAATAACATGAGAAAGTAATAGTAAAATTTTGTTAATTATTCCAATGTACACCTGTAGTAGAAGGCGCTCATCAGCCCAAATCACAGCTCGTCGCCAATCAATGCGTTCATCAAAAGGTAGCCTCCATCCATTACTCAAAAGAACAGGAACACATCCAGCAGCTAGTGCCTCAAGAAACCGATATGAGCCCAGACGTCTACCACGAGCTACCAAGCAAAATGTGGAGTTTGATAGTAACTGCTCATAGTCAAATCTAAAACATTTAAATTTTATTCAATGTTGAAGACCAATTTCACATATGATCTGCAGTATATCACCTAGCCAATACCTTCAATAATATTTTATTTATGGAAATCAAAAATCTTTGAGTAATCAATATAATAAAATAGTATAAAAGAAATCCTATATTGTATTAACGCAGTTTATGTTTGTTATACTATGTTTATAGTTTTTTAGGTGCCCATGGAATTTTTTACAACTAGTGAAACATATGATAATTTTTAAAAACTTTATTTCTTAAAATTGAATTCAAACTAATATTAGAGTTAATGGTAGTTAGACGATACTTAGGATTTTATTGATGAAGTGGTAATGTTGAATATGTTATATGTTGATGTATAGTGATGTATGATTAAGAACTTTACCCAATATTATTCTTACTTGTCATATTCTTTATTATCTTCATCACATCTTTCATCTCTTAAGTCTTTCCAAGATTTTCCATGCCTACATGTTGTCACTAATATCAAATTATTTCCATCATGTAAATGCCACAGAGAGTTTCTAGTTTCACTACCAATACCATGCACATAGCGTTTCCCTTTAAAGGCTAATAAATGTTTCTTTGGTGCTGGAAATGGATTAGCTGTAGCAGCAGGTGCTGCTCCACCTCGTTCAGGATGTTCTTTGTGAAACAATGGCAAAGAAATATCAAAACCATCACGAAAAATTGTTTCAGAAGCACTAGCCCTAGCTAATATAGCTTCACCAGAGTCAAAACCTAAAGCATTTTCTGCATAATCAGGCCAAGTACCGGCATACAAATTAAAAACAAGATGATTACGACCATTTTTCCAATGTGGCAATCGCGACAAACGTTGAGCCACATCAGGAATATGCTCGGACGATAAAGGATCAGCATCCAATGTATCTACTGCTGGTAAAAACAAACATGCCTCATTTGGATCTCTTGTGGCATATTTAGATTCTCTTATAACAGACAGTACTTTTCTATAAGTAGCACTTACTGGACCATCAGTTGGATAAACATATACTTTAGGATCATCACCACATTTTGAAAAATCAAAACAGGTTTCCATACGACATGATTTGATAATCGACTGCGGACTTCTTTTTTGCCGTGAAGGAACCTCATATAATTCGTCAAGCGTTGCAAACGAGGGTAATTGTTCGCGACGATTATTTTGCACAAATTTAGATTTCAAGAGAAATCCATTAGAATAAATGTAAACAGTTATTAAACTACATGACAACAAAAGGAGAATATAACGCTTCTTGGCTTGCATTACGCTCATTACATTAGCTCATCTAGCGTATTTCCATTTTGTTCAACTTTCGGCGAAAGAGTGCACTTTCATCACCAAAAAGTATTTAAATCATTGAACAATCATCACATTTTCATTTACAGAAACGAATCCAAGATCCAAGGCCAGGATCCATATTCCAAACCAATGACCATAGATTACTGAATTTCTGTATATATATTACTCTACTCTATGTTACTAAATAAGAATATATACTATGATTATAGAGATGCCAATGACAATGAATTTTATATCGTAGACAGAGAAACCTATCTCTGTCTACGTTTTATATAATGTTTTTTTTATTAACTGGCTTTACGGCTCTGGGTTCTAACCCTTCTGAGGCTACCATTTCTTTTGGAAGCTTCATTTTTATATTCTTTTTCTTCGCAATATGCTGATGCGTGACATTGCGAAGCCCTTGGGAGATTTTGACGGCAGCTCAACCTAGCTGTCCGCTATGTCACTCTAGTTCATAAGGCGCCCAAGCGATCAAAATAACTTGATGTTTATATCGACATCAAATCACTTGTTTTGTCATTTTCTCTAATATTTCAAACACGCGGACACTGAATTCATAAAATCGCATCACTTTTACGAATCAAAATCCACTTCAAACCATTATAGAACCGATAAATCAGGAGTGACAATCCGTCTACGGTCAAGTTATAATGTACTCTGTGGTAGCTACAGAGTAGCTATTATTTATTGTGTCTGTGATCTGTGCCGAGGGACATACTAGCGTAGAATTAATAGCCGCGCTGCCGTCAGTAATTAGTGTCGGCAAAGTAATTTTTTTATTTTTAACCAATAGAAACATTAAAAAATTCTGAAATATTTAAAAACGATAATAATAATAATATATTTGTAATAAATAATATTTACATTAATTAAAATTATTGAGACAACTTAGCGATCGCAGCGCTTTACTTATTTTGTCCATATTTCTGGGACACTATTTTCTACAGCGATCGTTCTCCTGTTCTCTAACCTACTATCTACGATACTAGCAGTCTCTGTCTACGCATACAACATACTGCATAATATGCATAGTAACTTTTCATACCTCTCTCTAGAGTAGTATGTTCCTTGGTTTATACAAAAGTACTCTTTAATAATACTGTCTATAGTACGTACCAAATCGATTGAGAAAAACGGACAATGACCTTTCGGTCGTTTAACCAGGGACTACAAACTTTCAATATATAGGCATTTTTTATAAGTAGTACTTTCTTTATTTGTAATGATTGATATAATATTTTTTTATATATTATATTTTTTTTATATATATGATTGATATAATATATATATTTAACTATTGTTAAAAAGTTACGTAAAAGATCGCTGTAGAAGAAAAAATCACATGTTGTTATAAAATACTTTATTCATTTAACAACAAAAAGCATTAATTTGTAACACATATAAAGATGCGAGTGATAACGACACGGAATTAGTACGTACTTATTCAAAAGATAAAACTTTATTTTCAATATTATATAAGAACTTTATTTTAATTTGGTGCACGCGGGCCGGCCCAAAAAAGGTGACACATCTCTGGCTGCCATTGTCACGTTTCTTTTAGAATGAACTGACGTAACGCGTGTTTTGTTTATTTTAAAGGGATGAATTTGAAAAGCTCAATATGGTGATCATATTGCTTCAAATATTTTTTTTAATATGAAATTGTTATTAAATGAATAGCTGCGTTACTTACCATAAATTGAAATATAAAATATAACACATTTTTCGCGATGTTCCGTAAGATTTTACGATGTTTATAGGGACCACAGACAATATTATTTAAGAAACAAAAAAACAAAACCTATGCGCTGACCTAAAGTGTGAATAATATCAATATTTAAATATTGTTATCACATCTAAATTGAGATTTTGTAAGTTACGCCTTGTGACACTCGGCTCATATCTGAGGTCATTGTCCGTTTTTCTCAATCGATTTGGCACAAACTATAGTAGGCATGGCGATATGTGATCAATTAATAGAAGAATAGATTTCTTGTGCCAAAAAGATCGATTTATAAAGCGATATATAGTACTGAATCGATCTAGTGAATCGATATTTCACCCTAGAAAATCGAGATCAAGGCTTTTTCTGTTTCCATAAGAACTATAAAATTAATTAAAATTAGTTGAATGTACCCAAACTAGTAAAAATGACAGTTTTTCTATTCAAAAACTCACAAAACTGCTGTCTTCTCAGTATTCTTCACCTCCTCTCAATGGATTAAAGAAATAAAAAATAAATGACTTTTATAATCAGAACTTTGTTGTATAATTTAATATTGTGAATATAAATTCTAAAAGTAAATCCAAAAAAGATCGATTTTAGAGAAATCGAGTTTTAGACATCGATTTTTTTGTGAACCGATTCATCAGATTTCAATATCTTTCGGAAATAATTGCTATCAGTACCCTCTAGCGAGAGACACAAAGACGTCAATTTGTCTATAGGTTTCTCTGTCTACGTAGACGGAGAAACCTACAGACTAATGATTAGCATGGCCTCGAGTGAGAAAGGACAATAACGTAGTTTTAGGTTATACAATAATTTTTATGACTTTTAAACATATTAAGATAAATTTTTTTATTGTTCTAAGAACTGAACTGAACAAGATTCAGCAATCTTAAGCTCACAAAATACTTTTTTCTCACTAAAACCGACTTGTAAACTCCTTAGATCGCTACGAACTGTCAAAGTTGTTTAGCAAAGTGTAGTTTGCTAAACAATAAAACCGGCACGGAGAAAGGGACAAACAATCACACCACTCTGTCTCATTTCTATGCAAGACGTATGCATAAATTTGTCTTTTTCGTGTGCGAATGCGAAAGAAGGCGTCAATTTGTCTATGGGTTTCTCTGTCCACGAGTACGCTGGACTGGTACACCGTGACAAGATGAGGCGATTTGATTTGCGCCATTTTGGCGCTGACAGCGGAAGTGGACATCTACGGAACTAATAATAGGGAAAATTCTATACCCTACCTTTACCTAAATAAATAGAATAGACTCTATGGATGGATGTCCTCTACCCGTAATGTCCATTCTATTTATATATCATATTAATATAAAGCCATTATCATTCATCATCATTAAAGCCGTTCACAAGTCCCCTGCTTAACAAAAGCCTCCCAAAAGGAATGCCACAAGCACGGTCCTGAGCCACCTGCATGCCTGCATCCATCAACTTCCTGCATATCTTACCAGGTTGTAACTCCATCTAGTAGGGGACGTCCTACACTTCACCTGTCGGTACTAGGCTGCCACTCGAGAACCTTTCTTCCCCGGTTATCGTTTCTTCGAGATATAAGGCCGGTCCATTGTCACTTCAGCTAACTAATCAGTTGGGCGATGTCGGTCACTCTGGTTTTACTGCGGATATCCTCATTTCTAAGTTTATCGCGCGGAAAAACCCTGAGCATAACCCTCTTCATAGCTCGCTGAGCAACTTCGTGCATCGCCCGGTATATTTTTTTATAGGAGTGGGGGCCAACGAGCATACGGCTCACCTGATGGTACCTAAGTGATTACCGCCGCCCGTGAACAACTGCAACACCAGGGGAATTGCAGATGCGTTGCCGGCCTTTTAAAAAGGAATAGGCTCTTTTCTTATATCTTTTATTTTTTATTTACTTCAAAGTTTGGTCTAATTACTGATTCCGCTTTTATTAAATCAAAAGCAGCTTTTATGTGAAAAGAAGCTATTTGTCTGGTGATTTGGAGTTTTGTCGGGATTCTGGAGATCATTTAAAATGTCGGGAGAATCCAGACGAATCCCGACCATCTGCCAGCCCTAGGGTAGGACGAGGTCTGAGAACTGTCTGGCAGTAATATCTCCCTTAAGATTGCTGCAGAACACTGAATTACTTAAATGAGACCGCTTAACTTCTTCCTCTTGCGTTCCACTGGGCACTACTGGTAAATCTCTACAAAAAATCGCTTGCTAACAATACAGTAACTCTTCCCATTTGACTATTATTATTCCTAATATAAATCTATTTAGGGCTTTGAAACCCCTTTTATGAGCCGTAGTACTCCCATCGCAAACAATTAATTTGCCGTATTATAGCTAAAGTTTGTAAATTAACTATAAAAAGAAAACAGAAAATATTTATAATCACAAATAACTTCGAGATTAATCATATAATCGAATTCTTACCAAAATGTGACTATTGACTAATTATATATTATCTTTTGCTACATGTAAAGGAAATCTAATTACATACATACACATAATTATTAATTTTAAATTATTAGCATATTTAAGATACTGATGGAATAGATTTAAGTCCTCGGATTTGTAATATTTGCCACAAATATATTTCAAAATATGAAGCTTTTGAATTGGTACATGAGCCAGGTCTTCATTGCTTAAATCTGAAAAAATAATTTAAATAAAATCACATTTTTATTAAACAAATAGAATGTAAGCAATTACAATAATCAGGAAATGGATTTAGTTTTTAAGTATAGCTCGTTTTGAATTACCATCCCAGGACTATCAAAGTTAGTAAGTAAAGTGCGTTTGTATTTGTGCACACAATCGTATACCATAAAAAACCTGTCCTACGTAGATAGCTACGTACACACCTAGCGCACAGGTTCGCGCGGCAGCCTCGCGAGCCAAATGCTTCGGCTGGTGTGGACGTGCTTCGGGCGCACGTTGCCTCGGCCGAGCGCGGCTCGACCCCGAGCCATACGTTGTCGGTAAACTGGACGTGCTCAAAGGTGCCTCAGTGTTCGCTGTTCGTCTGGTGTGT